TGTGTGTGTGTGTGTGTGGTATTTGGGGATGTGTGGAGGGGAGGGTGGCTGGGGGCGAGTGGGGAGGGGTGGGTGTGGATGTAGAGGTGTGAGTGTATGTGTGTGCGCGCAGCAGTGAGCAGGGTTCCCCACAGAGGTGCACATGTGTATGGAAGGGTGCGCATGAGGGCAGTTGTGGGTGGGTGCAGTGTTTGTGGGTGTGTTATTGTGTGGGGGAGGGTGAGGTTTTGTGGGTATGGTGGGTTGTGCATGGGACCCTCCCCATGAGCCCCCCCTGAGCTGGTCAGCACCTGCCCCTTTCACTGCCAGCATTATGCAGCCCTAGTGTGCCCTGCGCCCACTTCGGACTCACCCCTGCCAGAGTGGATCAGCCGGAACCCAGACTCAGGCCTGACCTGGCCTGCTTTGCACCGCCCACCTGTGGCACATCCTGCTGCCATCTGGGCACACAGTGGGGCTGGGGCTGGCCTGCAGCTGGATTACCTTTCTAGGCAGCCCAGGCAGGGGTGGCTCCTTCTGGCTCCAGGCCCGCAGTACCGGTAAGGACCCATGGTGCACAGCCCTGACCCCACATGCCCCGCACCTGCTCCAGGCTCACCTGCAGCCACGTGGGAAAAAAGCTGCTGCTCAGCACAGGGGAAAGCAGCCCCTTCCCTTCCCACTGCCAGCTGTTTCCTCCTGCATCTGTCCAGAGCTTGCATAGGGCTGCCCTGCATCTACTCTGCACTGGCAGTGGAGATGCAGGGCAGCCCTGCATGGGCTCCAGGCGGTTGTAACAGGAAACTGCCAGCAGTGGGATGCCGCTTTCCCTCCCATGCTGAGCAGCAGCTTTCGTCTCATGCTGCCGCTGCTGAGCCTGGGTGAGTGAGGCCAGAGCAGGTACAGGATGCATGGGGTCAGGGCTGTGCAGTGCAGGTCCCTGGAGGTACCGTGGGGCTGAGGCCGCTGGTGGCAGCAGCCATAAGGAACCACCCCCGCCCAGGCTGTCTAGAAAGGCAGTCCAGCTGTAGAGCCACCCCAACCCTGCTGTGTGCCCAGGGGTGGCAGGAAGCTCCACAACTGAACTGTGCCTGGGCCAGGAGACTAAGGGACCTGCCTTGGACTGGACAAACACTTGCTACTAGCTGAATTCAGCCCACAAGCCATATTTTGCCCACCCCGATATAGGAGTACTCCGGAGGTCTGTCAACCTGCAACTCAAGTGGTCCAAGTCTGAAACTTCTGCTTGAGGTACAGATTTCAAAACACCGCTGATGCTGATAGAGGATGAGGGATTTTTAAAACTTATTTTTTAAGATAAATTTGGGAAATGCGTAATAACTAGTACAAAATAATACAAATAAAGGAAGTTATTTCAGTTGCACATTCAAGCCTCTGACAGTTAGAGTTGCCTCTGTAACCTTAAACCTTCCCTCTTCTGCATGTGATGGGATACAATATTTAACTAGAAGTTGACATGCTATTTTGTTCCAGTAGCATAACTGAGCACGGGTGAGCAGGGTAGATGCTCTGGGAGGCAGCAGGTCTCTATGCTGCAGCAGCAGGGACAGCAGGGGCAAGGAGTCTGTTCATCACTGTTCATCTACTCCTAGTAGAGACCCCCAGGGGGTTAAACCCTCTCACCTGCCCCCTGCACCCACTTACCAAATTCAGGGTTTTAAATTGCCCCTTGGGATGGGAATTAGCACCAGCTGCCACATTAATCCCAAAGCTTCTGGATGCACCAACACCTTCCCCCAACCAGCAGCCTCTTCCACTTCTAGGGGTATGAGGCTGCTGAGGGGACCAGGGCACAAACTCTACCAATTAGATCTCTGTATTTTTATCATAGGATTCCAGCCTCATTCGTGGAATAAATCCTTTTCCCACTGATGTCTCTAGTGTAAGATCAAGAATGCACTACTTACGATGGACATAAATGGCAGCAGAATAAAAGCTACACAGGCAACTAGAAATCTAGAACTTCCTAACTCTTGCATACTTGATTTAGCAACCTCAGTACCTTTTTGGCACAGATTTGCGTAAATGTGATATAATTAAAAATACATTTTAAAGGAATCAGCCTTCCACTTCACATGATATTACATTGGCTGAAAGTTGCGCCACACAGCTGATTGTCAGTGGTTGCTGTGGTTTTACTTTACTTTGCTTGGTTATTACACCTAGAGCAATCTGCAGGATCTACTTCCAAATGGACTATTTGGTCTACCTTTTGAGGTCAGTAAGCCCCATGTGACAGAAGCAGCTGCCTGCACTGAACAATTTGCACAAATATTAATGTGATAAGAAATTTTGGGTCAAATCCTAGAAACTTGTTTCATCCTCAACTTTAAAACATTTTATACCATGCCCCTTTCTGGGCTGTTTGGTTTCTATGAAGAGAAGACACTGAATGCCAGAACTATTAGTAGTGGCTGGTTAATATGATCCAAGACCCTACCACCCTAAAGATTAATTGCTAACACATATAAAGATCTTGTGATGTGACAAGATAACTGAAGACAAAAGATGCAACTCCTGTGCCAGATATTTGGATTTTGTTACCAGTTATCTACTGCACTGAAAGAGATGTAATTTAAATCATCCACTATGTGGCTGGCTTCTCAATACAACAGGAGTATTAATTTTTTCTATGACAGTTTAATGTTAAAAACAACAAGTTGCATTTGCAGAGATTCCTGTTAAAAACATTTAAATGTTGCCAGTGCAAGTAGATTAGCAAAAGAAGCATACCTATACTCTAAATACAATTTGATCTCAAAATTTTGTGTCTTGTAGACTTAGTTATTTCTATTTTCTCTGCTTTTATAGTAACATAATACGCTCATTATTTTCTTGTATCACATTTAAGCCATTGACAAATTAAAACTTGATTTGCACCATGCTGCAGACTTCACCTGGTGGTAATAAATTAATGAACTCTATACACTGCTTTCTCATTTTGTGACCTGTATGTTCTATTTACAAAACCAGGCAATATAATTTAACATTAACAATCTGTTCCTGGGATTTATTTCCTTTGATACTGTATCTATAAATATGCTTATTTTAAAAGTTCAGTTGAAGAATGAAGGAGTCTAAGTCCTTTAAGTTCTTGGAAACTGCCAATCTTGGTGAACACCTTTGATTTCTATTACCTTAAATGCTTACAGAACCTCACAACGCCAGTTATTGAAATACTGTCCCATGAGGCTGACAAAAAACTTCCTGTAATGGGGAGAACAGTTTGTTTACTTTGAAATTTATGTAAAGCTTCTGCTGCCTGGATAATTTTAAAGTAGTAAAATTCACTTTAATAGCTATTTGCTTTAATTGCATCACTCAGCATGGATCAGATGGCTTTATATTTGCCTGCCTTTTAAACTATACTCCTCTCCTAACTACCTTCCATTTCCCCCTTCTCTCCAGTCTTTTGGGATCCAATTACACTGTACAATTAACATTAACCTGAATAGTTACTTTTTATAACGTGTGATGGGTATTTTACAGAAACAAGTAGAAATTCATAGTCCTTGTCCCAGAACCCGAGTGTGGGGCCTATGCTCATATGGAGGCCCATGGCTTCAAAGAAGCTCTGAAACAGGTTACAGAATCAGGACCTAAATTAATAAGCAAGATGATAAGGAAAATAGAACTAAGGCTAAACAAGGTTACAACAATACATCCATGCAATGCTCATTTCAAAATACAAGTTACTTACAACTAACCATAGTTCTTCAAAATGGATTGTCTACACACGTTTACATGTGTAGGTGCTCACCCTTGAGACTTAGACTGGGCACTTGTCAGACAGTACCTGAAGAGTGTGGCCAAGTCCTGTCCTAGTTCATCCCTTTACACCAAGGGAAAAAAGGTTGGAGCACACAGACACCACTCCTCAGTTTCCTCAACTGGTAAGTTGCAAGAAAGCCTGAGGAAGAGGGAAAGGAGGGTGGTCCTCAAATGGTATGGGGCATCTGGAAGAATTAGCGACTTCTATTCTCTTTTTAGTAGTGGTAAAACACCTTCTCTTATGTCAGTGACTCTAAAGCAGTGCTCATCAACTAGCTGGACATGAATCTAAAGTAATAGCTGTAGAGAGGTCAAATGGAACATAATACTGGGAAAAGTCCTGATAATGGGAATGATAACAGTTTTTCCCACTGATAAGCCTTTTTTTGTGACATAGCTAAAGAGTGGTATGGAAATAAATGTCCTAGAAGTCAAGTGTTTCTCTCCTGACCATACTGTCAAAGCCCCAGTCCTGTAGAAGGATCATGGTGAAAGGCAGATCTTTGGAACCTCAGACTATTTCTTGGTGGCGCCAAGAGATGAGTATGAGAAGGAGTGGTAGCACAGAAAAAAGAAGCTGGTGAAGCCCTCCCATAAGGCTGGATGTGACAAAATAGGAACTTTTGCCTCAACAAGAGATACAGACAACAAGGGAATGCTAAGTCATTCCGGAATCATTAGATCAGTGATACAGAACATCCACTAGCAAATGGATTGGTGTCTCAACTAGCTGTTTGGGAAAAAGGTGTTTATCTTTGGCCAAAAACCTTAGCAAGTCTTGGAAGTCTTCCTGTGAAGGGGCCACGTTCAGAAGCAGTGCTACAGGAAGAAGAGAGCTCTCTAGCCTCCTCTTGAAAAGACTGGCCATAAAAGACAGGAGGTCCTGAAGTCTAAGGGTAGATTGATAGAGGTAAACTTAAAAGAGACTGCAGGATATCCTGTATGACCCAAATACTAAAGGTAATCAAATGGTGGCTGCAGTCCCCAGGGTCAGAAGACCCATGCTGCATAAGAGGGTAAGACCCCAGATGTCAGTACAACGAAGTCCTGGGTAGGTAATAGTGTTATGACGCCAAGTGTAAGGGCTTTTTTGGAGATCAAGATGATTGTTCTCATGGGGGACTTCAATCACCCTGACATCTGCTGGTGCACAATACAGCAATACACAGGCAATCCAGCAAGTTTTTAGAGACTGCTGGGGACAACTTCCTGGTGCAATTGTTGGAGAGGCCAACTAGAGGCCGTGCTATCAATCTGCTGCTCACAAACAGGGACAAATTGGTGAGGAATGTAAAAATGGATGGCAACTTGGGCAGCAGCAACCATGAGATGATTGAGTATAGGATCCTGAGGAAAGAAAGGAAGGAAAGCAGCAGAGTAAAGACACTGGACTTCAGAAAACCAGACTTCAACTCACTCAGGAAACTGATGGGCAGGATCCCCTGGGCAGCCAGTCAAAGGGGGAAGGGAGTCCAGGACAGCCGGTTGTACTTTAAGGAAACCTTACTAAAGGCCCAGAAACAAACCATCCTGATGTCCACAAAACCAACAAGTGTGGCAGAAGACCAGCTTGGATTCACAGGGAACTCTTCAGTGAGCTAAAACACAAGGGGTTGATTACACCCACATGCAAGAATATGTGAAGGAGTATGCATGTGCACATACAATTACACGAAGGAATATTTATTATGATCACTTTACATTATAGGTGCTGACAGACATGGGGAAACAAAAAACAAACAAACAACAAAAAAACATTTTACTGGAAGAGGCAGCATGTTAGTTGGACCCAGCTCCACAGCATCTGTATAGATCAGGCACTTCAGTGGGGCTTCTTAATTAAATCTACTATAAGATAAAAGTGCCAAAAAATCCCCACTGAAGCACCTGATCTATACAGATGTTGGGCGAGCTGGATCCAACTAATGTGATGCTTCTGGCCATGCACTGGGCTCGGCACGGTGGCGCACAGAATTTAAAGTGCCTTTTTTAACATCTATTTAACTTACAGACTTCATGCACATTGCATACCTTGATGGCTCAGACAAGTTTTCTGTGAAGTAATTATGATTTGCAGCATTTCTGTAACCATCACAGAAGAGTCTCGGAGAAGGATTTGTATGACAAGAGGTTTAGCAGTGACTTAAAAGAATGCAATTGCGAGAGCCACCACAGTGTAAAGGGCTGTGTGGTAAAATGCATGAAGCTGTTGGGGAAGTCAAACAACTGAAACTTCAGAAAAAATAGAGGTGGCAGCAAGACCACAAAAGAGACAGAGTTTTTTTTTCATGTAGGTCTCAGGATATAATGACTTGATCACTGTTTTTCCTCCTTTTTTTTGCAGAGTATATACACTTTAATTTATATTCAATGATTGTTCTATTTCCTCTCTTAGCTATTTCTGGTCAACAACTTTTAAGTTGTTACCAATAACTATATAAAACTGTAGTTACATTCTGCAAATGGACTGTATTGGGTTTCTTGTTCAATGTGATTTAGGCCATGCCTAACACCCAAGTTTTACCATAACAGCTATGTCAGCTCAGAGATTGAAACAGTATGCCCCTTAGCTGAGGCAGCAAAACCCACGCTCTGGAGACAGGTGTGCTAATTGAAGAGGTATCTGGTAGTAGAACTTCTGGTCCTCAGGAAGTAGTAGTAAAGCTGGCAGCAACACCTCTTCTGTCACCATATGTTGCATCTCCACCAAGAGCCTTTGCAGCCACAGCTGTAGTGGCAGTTACCCTTAACACACCAAACCCTTACAATTAAATTTACTCCATTTCTGAGTAAAAAAAAATGATTTAAGTACCCCTCACTATAAATCTGAAGGTTGAGTTCAGTTCCTTCTTACTTGCACCTTTTAAGCATTATCTCAGATATTTTTCCAGATACCATCTGAAATGTCAAATGTCAAACCAGAAAGCGCATTTTTCCACAGTTATTTTCTGACTGCATGGGTGCGTTTACGCATGCCGATTTAAGGCACTTTAATCCTATGTAAAGCACATTAAGGGCATGCGTCTACACATACATGCCCTTAATGTGCCTTAAAAATGACAATTTTAGGCTATGCATACCTCAGTTTGATACCTGCAAAAGTAGGTATCAAATCAGGCATGAATTACACATTAACACATGTGTAGACACATTAAGGTGCATTAAAGCTGTGTATGGACTGACATGGGACTAACTTTAGTTAGTCGCGGGGGGCAAGGCCAGCTCTGCTTTCAGACAACCAACCAGAGTGCAAATAAAGCATTACAGACAGACAGACTTAGGCTTTTATAACATTAGAATGACTGAACGTTTTGAAACAAATTCTCATTTTTCCTACTTTTGTGAAAAATTAAAGTGCAATTAATATTTATAAATGGATTTCTGTGAGTATGTGGTAAAACTGTGTAGAGGCCATTAGTTACAGATTTCTATTTTGTTTCTGGACAATGCAGTTTGTGACACATGAGAACTGTCACAGAGCGTTATTACTGCTTTCTTCCCTCAACAGTGAATAAAAGGCAAAGAAAAGCCCATGCAATCTTAACTGTAACTCTGTGCATATTAATAACAGTGTCACAAACTTTGTGGTGACATACAATTTTTCAAATACAAATTTTTTCCTTAATTTTAGCAAATGTCCAACCAGTCAGTTTTCTAATATCATTGTTTAATAACAAATATGAAGATATAAAATTTGTGAATGTCTTGGTTTTCTTTCAATCAATGAGGATGTACCTACATTTAATAAATGTAGTTCATCTATAATATGGAAAATGGTGAAGTAAAGAACTGCCAAATGCTCTTGGTGTACTGTGCAGAAACCTACTTTCAGATAGAAAATGAAGGTTAAGTCAAAAAGCAACTTCAAATCTTACACATTTTGTGGCGCAGAATTTAAGAAATACTTGTGCCCTTAATTTCTAGCTGTTCTATTAAAATTCCCTTAGATCTAAGCTTGAGAAACTTTATACCAATCCGGGGGGGGAAGGGATGTCATCATCGTTTCTTTAAATAATGACTAGTTCGGTCAATGAAGAGTCTCAGAAAAAGTACTGCCTTTTTTGAGACCAGGTTCTATACCAGTAAATACAGAGTTGAGAAAATCTACAATACTAAGCACAAACCATCAGGAAACCTGCTGAAAGTCATAATACTTGGGGAAGAAAGGAAGGGTGTACAACTCACCTAAAATTTCTCACTAAAAAAGCCCCAAAACATTGCCAGTGACCAAAGTCTAAGTATGGGAAATGTTGAGCTAAAAGGAGCTTTTGGCAACAGCTCAATGGGAGATGTCAAAAGTGGACTCAGAATGGAAATGTTCTTAACATGTCACTTTAGTGCTGGCAAAATTTCTTCTTGTAATGCAAAGTTGCATTACTTCTACAACTGTAATTAAAATCCTTGCCAAAAGCTGTACTTCATGCTTCATTACAGCCCTGACACAGTCCATTAGCAGCCACATTTTCCTTAGTGGGTAATTCTTTTTGCACCACTTCCTCTTGCCTCCATATTATCTTTGCTAGAAGCTGCTAAATAAATGTATGAAGGTGCACCTCACAAATATGGGTTTAAAATGTGTGTTTTTATTGTTTTTAGTGTATGGTAGGTTAGTTTAATATGCATATATAAAAACAATATGAATGGAAGGGAATAAAAATAATTTGTGTTGGCTGGCTGTTACTCAAGACTATCAATCTGCAATCTAGCCCAAATTAAAAGCAGAGTTGTCGTGATGCCCTAGAGAAACGTGAGAAAAATGTGATGGAGTAACATTTCTACTTAAACTCCTTGCTGCTCCTGGGTCTAACTATAATGTGTGTTTCTAATGTGCTTGTTTAAACAACATAAATGGGTAAGGAGGACCAGACTCATTCCCCCCTTAATTCACATCTGTGGATTTAACTGTACAATGCAGTATAGCTAAAGAAGAAGGTACGCTCCTAGTCTCCTTGCTGCTTAGTGTCATTATATGGAATGGGTTGCAGTCTGGCCCTTTATAACTGAGATATTTACACCTTAGAAATCTACTGCAAGCTGCAATTAATTTTAGGGAAAAAAATTCTGGCATAAATGCCAACTGATATTTTGATTTACATAAGATTAGGAGGGCAACTGACTGAGGAAGGAAAAAGTTGAATCAATATAAAAACTGGACAAATCAAAAAGTCACTTACCAGTGATCTAAAAGAAATCTAAAATATCAACTGATCTATTCTTATAAAAGTTGCAAAAATATTCAGAAGACAAACCTTTGCTCTAGAAGTAATGGGAACTTTGCAATGTTTTAATATTAGCATTCTGGAGGCCAAAATAACATCTGTGTGAACAGTTTTACTTATAGATTAACTAAACCATAAAAATATTTGAGTACACTGATAGCATGCCTATGAGCTAAATTTATAAAGCAGATGAGAGTCAAGAATTCTCTTCTATATACCATTTTCAACTTTCCAAAATATGAACAGTTTGGAAATGTTTAAACAGCATTCTCCTTTTTCCTTCAGTTCCAGTGGATGAAAGGTTTTAATTTCTGATAGCAAAAATAAATTGTGCTCCTCCACCACTTCAAACGTTATGACCTTTTGCTGTGGCCAGCTTCCCTATTGCTGGAGAAGTTCTTTTATCTAGCTTTCCTTGGGTGATAGAGCTGAGTAGACAGGATACTGTAGTGGGAACGTTTATATTTGAGAAAGCTTATAATTATTGGACGTTGGTCCAATTTGTAAGTTCTTTTTTAAAGAACTGGAATGCACTTTAAATAGGCAAATCAATTAAATACATGTCAGTTTTCAAATACTTGCAAAAAAGGCTCTCTCACCTGATGAAAGAGTGGACTGTGTGTTATGGGGATTCCTAAACCAGTGAAACACATTCCAAGGACCATATCATCAGGAGCATCAGTGCTGTAGCATCGGCATTTACTAGCAAGTAGTTTCTGGACTGCTGTTCTGCTGAAAACCATCCTAAATAACATAAACAAATGAAAACTTATAAAAATACAATTACTAAATTATAAATAATGTTTATGGATTAAATAGTGCTTGATGCAATAAAATTATAAACAGAAGCGTCATACACTGGCACAAACTATTTGGAAACTACACAATTTGAAAAGAGAGCATTCAGTCTTGGATTCGTGATATGACTTTTTCTGAAAAATAATTATTTTAGTTAGAGAGCTCTTTTTTTCAATTCACTTAGTTATGGAAAATCTTAATGGGTCAACATCTTATTCTGCTGGGAGAAAAGTGGTGGCAGCAGCCCCACCATTGACTAAGCTGCATTATTTTGGCCTGCCACTCCTGAAACATTGGCAACCTGATTCAAGGCATGGATACCATCAAAGAACAAGGCTCTGATAGCAGCTGGTGCACAAAAGTCTCATGGCATTTGTGAGCTCTATAACTGAGGATAAACTTTCCTGCTTAACATTCCACAGCTGTTCTTTTTCAGGCAAAACCTGTAATTCCACCTAACCCTATCAACATATCTGACAATCTAGTTGCTACAAACAACATCAAGGAGATTTATCAGACTGTGAGATAGCTACCCCAACCCTCCACAAGAACTCATTACTTTAGCAGGATCCTTAAATGGAACCCAGCATGCTAACACTGACATCAACACAAAAGTCAAAGAAAAGTCTTTGAATTGTTAAGATTAATACTGTGGAAGGCTTTGAGTTAGCAGTGCACATTTAAGGCAAATCTGTCATACAAAGAGTAAAATGAACACAGGGCAAAAATACCACAACAAATAATATTACTGGAAGCAAAAGAGTAACTCTACTGAGAACTTTGATTTACAATGACCATTTCCTATCATCAGAACCATGCATGTGGCTGTGAATCTCACCTGCACAAATTTGGTAAATGTACCAAACAGATGCTAGCAGAATGGGCACAGTCAAATTTATCATGCGGATCTTAATTTGAGTTACTGCCTTCCAACGAATACCCTCAAAAACAGGGATACGAAGGAAAGGTAAGCTTATGCTATATATTTTTTTTGTCTGGAACTGAATATGAAAGAGCTCTGATGGATAGAGATGGTAAAATTTAAAAAATCCAAGTAAATAATAAAAATATTTTAAAAATTGAAGCAAGTACTCCAGCATCAAAAGATGTTTTTAATGGAAGGGGTAAACTGTCTAATTAAGAATGATGAATACATTCTCATGCTACAGGAACCAATAAAAATGCAAGTAAGCTCTTCATGGAGAAAGGACCAGTTTAATGAGTTAATACATTATTTTCTTCATGGAGAACAGGAATGCTAAATAGTGTAAGTATACTCAGAACAAGAAAAATAATTATTTATACCTTAACTTGTTGAGATCAATAAATTCACAGCCCTTGCAATTTGCCTTAAAGCAGCAAGATGGACAGAGAATAGAACCACAAGTAATAGGGCCTATCAATATTATTTGGATGAAGCTAAATTGATTGGGCCCTATGTAACTAAGGGACCACTTTCTTCCGTATCTTCCCTTGACCCCTAAAGTCCATTGAGAGCAACCACCTAAAGTACCATCTGTGTACCAAGCTCTCTTGGAAAAAAGAGGGCATTCTCAGTAGTAGCTCGTTTTAGGCCTGTGTGAAGCAGCTAGTATTCACCTCAGATTCGGGTTCTGCCAATTCGGGGGACAGTGATTCAATTCAGTGATTCAGATCACTGTCCTGAATCAATTCGGCCAAATCTGATTCGGAGATCCAGCCACCGCCGAATCGGCTGAATCCCTGAATCAAACAGGCCCCATCCCCTGCCTGCTCTCCCAGGCCTGTCAACAGCTACCCAGCCCAGCCCCAGCATCCCAGCTCTTAAAAATAAAGAAAAAGAAAAAGCCCCACGCTCACTGGCTGCTGCCAGGTGGGGGAGCGATCCCTGCTGCCCCCCACTGCCCTGTGCTGCATGGGGAGCTCTGCCATGAGCCCCCAGGAGCCCTGACAGCTGCTGCAGCAGCCAGTGAGTACCGGGCTTTTTTTGTTTGTTTGTTTTTAAAAGAACTGGGAGCTGGGGCCAGGTGAGGCAGTCATTCACAGGGCTGGGAGAGCGGGTGGGGAAGGATAGGGACTTATGGCAGAGCCCCCTCACAGCGTGGGGCAGTGGGGATCAGCCCCCCCACCTAGCAGCAGCAGGTAAGTGCGGAGCTTTTTTTTTTTTTTTAAGTGCCAGGACTCTGGGGCAGCCATTGATGGGGCTGCGACAGCAGGCAGGGGTCAGGGGATGGGGCCTAGCAGGGGTCCCCCCATGATCCTCTCCCTGCTCCTCCAGCCCCCCACCCCCTACTTACCAGCATGGCATATGGTGCAGTTCCCTGCAGCAGTGAGTGGGGACTGCCCCAATCTCCAAAGCTCTCTGAAATTTTTCCAAATCGATTCAGAGAGTTTCAAATCAATTTAGACCTTTTTATTGGTTTCCTGATTCAATTCAGATTCAGAGATTCAGCCACCGAATTGGGCCAAATCTCCTCCGAATTGAATCAGCACCCGAAGCTTTGCACAGCCCTAGCTTATTTGCTATGGAACTCCCTTTTCTTTGTAGTCTACAGAGCCCAAACCTGGACATCTTCTGGAAGTGCCATAAGACTTTTCTTTATTTGGGCAGACCTTTAATCAGCAAGGTTAAACTGGAAGTTCATACTATATAGATTATATATCTTACTTAATATTTATTCTGAATTTATGAATTATTCCTTCTTTTATTGTTAGCCACCCGTCCCTTTTTTTGGGAAAGGAAGCACAGAGATCTAACAAATAAATAACCATGCATATACTTCCTATAAATCACTCTACAAACAAACCCCATTGAAAATTCATGTGTTTCAAACATAATGACTGGAAAAATCTGCCTACAGTGATCTATCTGAATAAGAAACCATCTTCCATCCAGACCAACACTTAATCCCTTACATAACAATCTGCATGTCAAAAAGAGCTTACATTAGAAGAACAAAACCAAACAAGATAAAAAGAGCATAATTTGATTTACAACCTGGGACAAACCAAGCAAACAGTCATACAGATCTCTTCCTTTGATTGTCACTACTTCCTATTATGTCAGTCAATTACTTGTGATTTACAGTATTGACTGCCAAACATTTGCATTAAAATAATGATTGCTTTAGATACCAATAAAAGTACAAGTAAAATAAGTTACCCTCCTCCACCAGTGATATAACTATACCCTCCTGTTCCCAATCCATAGCCATAACGTTCTCCAAGAAAAACCGGTTCACTTGGGTCATAGCAGCTGAGCAGTTTCCGAAGCCTAGAGATGCTAAAATATGAAAGTCTGTTATATTAAAAATTGTTCCAAATCTGATAAAGACATTCTTTATTTATTTCTTTTAAAACAAATTTCAAAATCCCTTAAGTTAGCAGGTCTAAAAGGCGTTTTGGAATACAGTACATAAAATATATGTAAATTGCAGATTTGAAGAAGAAATCAGATCAGAGCCTTTTGATGGAAGATTAGAAAGAGATTTCAGATACAGTTCTTGGGGATTAGCTTCAAATTATTAAGTTAATCATTTAGGAAATATTTCATAAAAGGAACATGTTGCTCCTGCAAAGTTGAGTCTAATTGCGAAGTAAACACATTGAAATTTTTCCTGGCTGCAAGAATGGTAGACAGGAAAAAATTCTAATAGTGAAAGAATTAAGAGTGTTAAGTGATCTGAATCAAGACTAGCCATCTATAACAAATATTACTATTATGACAGTGGTTTCAAGAGGCCCAAGTAGAAACAGAGTTCCAGAGGCAGTACTTGCCTAATAGTAGGCATTTCCACACTGAGTACCCAAGTCATTTAGGCATTTAGGTTCTTTGGATAAATCTGATATCTTTTAGACCATCTCAAACAGTTGGAAAAATGCTTCTTTGCAACCTTTTGGGTACATATACTCTTCTGTGCTCTTCCTGGATAGAATGAATAGTAAAGCCGCCAGAGGCTAGTATGCATGCAAGAAAGCCAGTCAGTAAAGATGTATTCATGCCATCCAGGAACAGCACAGACATACATCCTTGGCCTGATGAAGGGTATTTGTACCCAAAGGCTTGCAAAGAATTTTTCCACCTATTTGAGTTGGTCTAATAAAAGATATCAGATTTACCCAAAGAACCTTGTCTGTGTATGTCCTTTGACCAACATAGCTACAGCCTATACCCCTGAAACAAGTAACTTGGGTCACTCAACAGGAAGCACAGATGCCTAACTGATTATGCTGATTACCCTAAGCAGGACAAGGCACCTAAACTTTAGGTGCTGCACTTTCCAAACAGAGGTGATTTGGATCTGGCTGCAAAACCTATTTTAGTCTGTCAGCCACTACACAAATAATACCTTCAGGAAATTAATTTTGTTTTTTGACTTAAATCAGTATTGATCATTATGTAATCATACTAATTACCATTAAAATGTCATTAATTACCAATTATCTACAAGTAATTTGTCTCTTCAACCTTTGAAACTCTTCCTTAAATAAAATAAATACATGTTTAACCAAAAAGAACGGGGACTTGAACATTTTTGTATTACTCTTCAAAGTAATGTGAATCAATTTTGGTGATACAGTATGGAAAAATATGTAATATTATGCTAAATGCAATTCAATGTTAAGGTCCAATAAAACTAGCTCCTTGCAATGTAAATGGACTAAACTGATTCTTGTTGTACAATCTGGAAAATTACATGAAGTCAGTGCTACTACACACTGAAAATCCTACAAAAGCTTGGGAATGATAAATTCATTTCTAAATCTCATCTTCAGGTTAGTGGGACACCAAAAAGGAAACTGATTCCTAACACTATTTTTCCTTACCTGGACTATGACAATTTTTTTTCCTGAATTTCAATTTTCACCACCAACAATCTCATTATTATATATAATCTGCATGTTTCTCTCTCTCCATCAGGACTATAAAAAAGTCATAATTTTCCTTGTACAATAACTCTTGCAAATTCAAACTCTTAAACAGCTGCTTACAGATGTGAAAAACAAAATAAAAACAAAGCTTTACTTTCAACTTGGTGTACCCCTGCACCAAGCAAAGTGCATGCTCAGAAGAGGCATTGCATTAGTTTAACCCAACTTGTCCAACATCTGTATAGATCTCACGCTTCAGCACGGCTTTTTAGCACTTTTATCTAATAGCTGATTGAATCAGCTTTAGCTAAAAGCACCAAAAAGCCCCACTGAAGCCCCTCATCTACACAAACCCTGGGAAGCCAGATCAAACTAGCGCACTTTCTCTTCCAGTAAAGTGCTATTTTATGTTTTTTTCATGTCTGCAGTGCCTCATCGTCTACATCTGGCCCTCTGCAAAGTCCCTGTCACCTGATTCAACCTTAACGATGCTTTTATAATTTTAAGCCATTTCTCCTCACACCCACAAGGATGTGATCCTGACAGAAGAGTATAAACATAGAAATCAGGTATTTCCATTTTACAGAAGCAATAACTTCAGTTTTCTATCTTAGCAAGTGACAGGTGAAAGATTTGGAATGCGTGACACCAAACTAATCAGATTTTCCACCACAGTAAATTATTAATTTTATTTTAATCTGAACAACTGTGTGTCAAGTTTCTTAATTTGTTAGAATTTTTTTGAAAAGCAACAGTGTCCCAATGTATGTACTTGCTCAGCTTCATCTGTTTAGGCATTTATACCTCACTGATTACTGTAGGATCACTTTTTATTATGCGTATGAGTTCTGCAACACTTCCTCCTCCAAATGAGTTGACTGTAAGGAACCACAGAATTAAAATCACCTTATTTTGGATATTTTGACACTTCTACAGTACTGTTCAAATCCTGAACTTGCTTTCTCTTTGATAAAAATATATTAAAGCTACTCTAAAAGAGAAATTAAGAATTTCTGTGGTTTCTCATCACTGAAAAAATTAGCTTGTGTTTGAAATTGAGCGCATTTCCTACCAATGACAAGTGCCTAGATATAGGTCTGCATGACTCTGGGAACTGATTCTGAGTTAATGGAGGTCTCTTTCCTCTCAGGTCTCATTTACATTGGAAATGTACCATCACGCATCTTAGCCTAGGGCTAAGTATAACCATCTGAAACCTCATATGCTTTTGAATCAAGAGAGCTCAACATGTGACCACCACATATTCCAGACAGACTACTAACTTATTACGTGTCTACACCTTTATTGAAGAGTAAGCTGCATTTTAATACCAGTCAAAGAATGTCTAGAGCAAGGAATCTTGCACCTTTTTCTTTGAAGGAGCATACAAATAAATAATATATCTATATGTCTTAACATATAACAGCACTAAATGTTTCTAAAACCCATACTAATACACATCAAGGTAATTTCTGAAATATTGAAATTCATACCTCATTAATGTGTCATCATCCACTATAACTAACCATGGTGTTTTAGAAGAACTAGGATTCAAAAATCTTTCCAAAATGGCAAAGGTTTTTCCACAATGACCTAAAAAAAGAAAGATGGGAATGAAAAAAAGAAAAATACATTTTTTTTTAAAAAACATTTACTATAAATAGCCATCTAAAACTGAACTGAGTGATACATTTCACTGGATAATGCAACAGTAATTATGTGTCTACGAGAGTGTTGAAGATCTAGGTCCAAATTTATCTTGTACTGTGCTAAGTGACTTGGAATTGGATGTTTCCTACATAATAGTGCTCTGTATCATGCAGCGGACCACTGGGTAGGACAACAGACTGTACCTCAAGGGACATGGACTTTACTTTCAGATCTACCACCGGCCTGATGGATGACCTTGGACAAGCCACTTCACCTCTCAGTTTTCCTGTTTGTAAATTGAGAATTCTGAGATACTTCCTTGAACTCTCTGGATGAAACATGCTATTATAACTTCTTTTACTCATGAATATTAATTACCATTACACTGCATCAAGTCTGCGTATAAGCGGGGGGGTGGGGGGGGATTATTTATTTAACATTAAACCTGAATAGGCACAAGCACCCAAATGAGTAACAGCAGTCATTACAATGAATAACAACAAAGGGACCTGATGGTGGGAATCTACTATAGGCCTCTCTACCAAGAAGAAGACAGCAAACAGGCATTCTCCACAGAACTAACCGAGGCAGCGAGCACTAAAGACTTGACAGTCATGGGTGACTTCAACTACCCTGACATCTATTGGGAAGACCATTCAGCCAGCTCCAGCAGATCAACCAACTTCTTGGCAGCTATAGATGACCTGTTCTTGACACAGGCTAGGCGGGAAAGACTAGGGGTAAATCCACTCTGGAATTTGTGCTGACCAAAGAGGAAGACGTGGTAGGTGACTTGAAGATTGTAGGTACTCTGGGTACCAGTGATCATGGTCCAATCAGATTCACCATCCACTGAAAGGCTAGGAATTCTGCCAGCAGAACAGAAGTCCTAGACTTCAGAAGGAAAGACTTTGGTAAAAACTCAGGAGTCTAGTTAGAAAGGCCCTTTGCAACCAGAGACCAGATGATTTGGGAGTTCAGGAACGGTGGTGCTTCCTTAAGGAGGCAATTCTCACTGCTCAAAAAGAGGCCATCCCCATGCAGTCAAAAAGAGGGAAAGGGGCCAAGAGACTCCCTTGGCTCAACAGGGGCATCAGGGAACTTCTCAAAATGTAAGAAGAAGTATACAATAGGAAAAAGTGTGCAAAGGAAGTGTGCAATGAAAAAACAATTCAGCATCCAGAGAGGAGTACACTCACATGGCCAGAGTCCGCAGGTATGAGACAAGAAAGGCCAAAGCATGCGTGAAGATCAAGCTGGCAACCAAATTAAAAGACAACAAAAAGTCCTTCTATAGGTACACAGGGAGGAAGAAAAAAAAAAGCTCCACTGTCAGACCCCTACTGAATATGGAGGGGCAGCCCACAGTTGATCCTTGCAAAAAGGCACAGCTCCTAAATACTTACTTCACATCAGTATATTTTAAATCGGGTGGAAACTCATCAACTGTCCAGAGGCCTAGAGAATACAGGGAAGACAGCAGTCCACAAAAAAATCAGTCTCAAACAGGTGAAAGTACTCTTAGAACATTTGGACATTTTCAAGTCTGCTGGGCCAGACGACCTGCATCCGAGAGTCCTGAAAGAACTGGAAGTAGGAAGAACCTTCATCATAACTATATGATGAGTGGCAGTCCACTGGCTAACACTGAATCTGAAAGGGACCTGGGGCTGACAATCCACTAGAGGATGACTCTGAGCCATCAGTGTGATGAAGTCACCAGCAGGGCAAACAACTCTGGCATGCATCAGCCAATGCATTGCCAGTAGATCCAGAGAGGTGCTCCCCACCCTCTATTCGGCATTGGTGAGGTCACAGCTGGAGTAATGTGTCCATTTCTGGGCACCACACTTCAAGAAGGATGTGGATAAGCTTGAACGGGTACAGAGAAGCACAAACTGTATGATCAGGGGTCACCCGTATGATCAGGGCCTAGAGAACAGGCCCTACGAGGAGAGACTCCAGGAACTGGGTTTGTTCAGTCTGAGTAAGAGAAAACTAAGAGGTGACTTGATAGCCACCTACAAGTATGTCAAGGGCAAACACCAAGATCTAGGGGAGCAACTCTTCAGAAAGACACCCCTTGGGAGGACAAGGTCCAATGGGTGCAAGCTAATTGAGGAAAAATTTAGGCTGGACATAAGGAAAAACTTCTTTTCCATAAACGCATCTAGAATCTGGAACACACTCCCAGTAGAGGTGGTGTAGTCGCCATCCCTGGAGGTGTTCAAGAGGAAGCTGGACAAGCACCTCGTTAAGCTTGAGTCCAATTACCTCCTGCCCGTGGCAGGGGACTGAACTTGATGATCTAACAGATCCTTTCCGGTCCTACTAGTCTATGATTAACACTAACTTGAGCTCTGTCGATAGCTTTCCCTAAGCCGCAGCTTAAAGATGCAACATAGTATTTTATGACTGAAATGTGTGCTATGCTTGATTAGAATGAGTATAAAGGGAGAATAAAGAAGTCTTATTTATGTTTAATCAGAGCTAAAAATTTTCCCAAAACTTTCCTCAGAAAAATCAAATTATAAATCATGAACACAGCCTGTCTTCAAGACAGAGATTTTAGAAGCATTTCAAAAGCAATTAAGCACTACTAATGCATATGGCAATAAGAAAACTAAACAAAGGCAAACCATTACAGTTGAGATTTTTCCCAAAACGTCTTCTGACAAAAAGTCTGCTTTGTTTTGTTTTAAAGCTTTGTAAATATTTTTCCTGACTTTGGAAACCCCTATCATTTTTGCTGCCTATGTTTTGATTTGCTGAGCTTATAGCAGAATTTAAAACAAATATTTCCATTTTATACTCTTTTGTTAAAATATAACAAGGGCAATTCAGATATGAAACAGTAAGTTTTCAAAACGAAAAAATGCAAAGAAAATTGAAATTAAAATATAGTCTGTTCAGTTTGGAAAGTGAATAATAGCCTGTGACAATGAGCAAAACAGAAATACCTTATGAAGTATATGCAAGAAGGTAAGAATATGGAAGCGAATGAAATTTCTGTAGCCATATTGTCAAGAGCTTTTTGTGTAAAGTATGACTTTGAACATACTATGTGTTATGTGCTCAAAGAAAGTACTTTACAATTTTGTCACATAGTCTAAACACATTCATGTTAGAAGTCAGAACACATTTCTGTGAATTCAGATAGCAAAGTATTTTATGCTCCAGCAACCAGCTTGCATTACCTGAAGTCTTCTGCTTCAGACCTAAGACTTCCTCATTACTATTGGTAACATCCTTGTTCAGCACAAACTTGTTAGAATAGGGATAGCAAAGGGATACATTTCAGTAGGCAGAAAACTCGGTCCATCCTGGCATTTCTACCATGTCCATGCCCAGAGTACATAGATTTGAAACCAATAAAAATTATTAATTCTGTTAAAAGAACTGTAAACTCCACTCATAGTTTGTTCTAGATTATTAGTAGGAATATTTTTTTTGTTTTTGACTGAAAAGGTGAGTCCTAAAAAGGACAGTGTTTCAACTTAATTTAGTATACATGCCATAGACATTTCATCTGAAAGCTTACTATATTTGCATAATGATACTCTGTACAAAGTAGGTAATTAGTCAGAACTCACCTCTATCGGTATTTGGTACTCCTAAATCTACCGTAGGAATGGAGGTTTCTGCATAATCACTATAGTATTCAATAAGGGTAGCCTCATTTTCCCAGGTCTGCTTTACAATAGGTACTGCAAAATAATTAGCATAATTGAAGCGTAAGCAGATTTAAATAGTTGGATCCCTGGTAACTTCTATGTTCATCAACATGGTAAAATGCTGCTTCTTCTCAACACTCATTCTTTTCTTTTCAACATGATTTTATTTACAAACAACCTTTACATGTCCGTGAAAAGCAAGCTAAGGGGAACTAGAACAGTTTAACACAGCAATAAAATATTTCTGACAAAATATTGATGTATTTTCTTTCATGCTGCATAAAAGATTCAGTTCAAAACTTTTGTGTAAAATGCTTAAATAAATGCTGAACAGGATGAGGAATGTATTACATTTACACTTACAATGAGGGACTTGTTACTATATAGATGAAATGGCAGTTCCATTCTGAAGTTGTAGCAGACTGAAAAGAGTAGAGTTAAGCAATATATACTGTTTTGACTTCAGAAATTACATTAAATGCACCTCTTTAAAGACTGTACCTTCAGTGTCTCATAGTATTTTAAAGCATCTTCTTTTTAATATTCTAAAGTGCTTATCTTTGAACAAGGACGTTTGCGGGTGGTATCTTTTATTGAACCAACTGTATAGTTAGGAGGGATACAGACAAGCTATCAGGTACCAAGTACCCTTCTTCACGTCTCTCAGAAAAAACTCAGATGCAGCTTGAGCTAAACAGCAGGTAGAACAAAGGCCTCTGCAAAACTCCATGTGGTGTCTGGCCTCATGGTCATACTCTGTAGTGCATACAAAGTTTTGTACAGGCATTTGGTTCTACCTGTTGTTTAGCTCAAGCTGTGCCTACTTTTTTTCCCCTCAGGCCACTAACAGATGTTCATTTAAAGGCATAATGAGAATTGATCCCTGGTCCCAACAACTCTGTCTCCAGCCAGGCCACATGTACACAGCAACATGCACAATTTTGGGATTGGGAATCAGATCCCAATCATTCCCTACTTGCCAGTGCAAGGGAAGCCAGGGATCATGATCTTGGGCTCCCCCTTCAGAGGCAAGTTGAAAGCTGGGTGCCTGACAATCATCTAGCTGATTGTCAGCTGGCTCTTGGATTGCCCCCAGAGCCAACTGGTGATCGCTTGATCATTTGCTGGATTGGGACCGCATCAGGGCTCAAACTGATCTTGGTACAATGCCTTGAGCCAGGAGATGGTCAGCTGATAATCTGCACCCGGGCTCAATCTGGCACCATCTGACAGTCTACTGATCATTAGCCAACTCCAGAGACTGCACTGGGACCAGTTCAAGCCCCAGTACAGTCCTGGAGCCAGCTGACAATCAGCTAATTGTCAGGCAGTGGAAGCTACCGATGACCCCAGCAAGGTGATGGTTTAGACTCCTCTTGCAGATTTCTAGGGTAGGTGATTGCACCCCCTCTGGGGGGAGCTTATTCCACAGTCTGGACACCCTGAATGGGAAGGTTTTCCTAATGTTGAGCCTGAATTGATCTTCCAGGAGTTTGTGGCCATTACTCCTGGTTTTCCCCTCAGGTGCCCTGGTGAACAGTTGCTCACCGAGCCCTTGATGTACTCCCGTAACGTAGTGGTAAGTTGCTACCAGGTCCCCTCTCAGCCTTCTTTTCCTCAGGCTGAAGAGTCCCAGATCCCTCAGCCTTTTCTTGTATGGCTTGCCTTTTAAGACTCTGATCATATGGGTGGCTCTTCTTTGGGCTCTCTCAAGCTTGTCGACATCCTTGTTAAAGTGTGGTGCCCAGAACTGGACACAGTACTCCAGCTGCAGTCTCACCAGTGCTGACCAGAGTGGAAGAATCCCTTCCTTGGTTTTGCTGGAGATGGATTGATTGATGCACGCCAGAGCATTATTTGCCCTACTGAATACAGCATTGCCCTGCCAGCTCATTCTCATACTGTGGTCTAGTATCATCCCTAGGTCCCTTTCATTCGTGGTGCTAGTCAGTTTGGTGCTGCCAAGCCTGTAGGTGTGTTGGGGGTTGCTCGTCCCGAGGTGCAGCAATTTACATTTCTCATCAGTGAGCTTCATCAGGTTCCAATAGACAACTTGCTAGCCTGTCTAGGTCCACTTGTATCTGTAGCCTATCTTCAAGCATGACCACATTGGAGGGTCATCTTAAGTTCATGCCCTACCAGCTATGGCAGAGAAAGTAGTGGCAAAAGTCTTCCCCACAGGCCTCCCACCATGCGGTCTCCTCCATACTTCCCTTGCCAAGAGCCTTCTCTCCCACTGCCTGACCTACCCCAGCCTGAAGCAGGTGGCAGCTCAGCTCCAGCTTTGACTCCAAGCCTGAGGCCTAATCTGAAACTGAGCCACCACTGGCTGCTCCGGAACAGGACACAAATCTAAGATGGGGGGGGAGGGGAAGGGGGAGGGCACCCACCCATGGTAATGGAGAAAAAACTTCATCTTGAATTCAAATAAATATGACAATTCCATGAACATGTGGCCAGGTTACTATGTAAGCTGCAATTAACAGACCATGTAAGGATACTTGGGACCTGAAAGCTTCTCTACATCCTTCCCAACTACCCAGTTGATCTGATAAAATTTATGACCCACAAAAATCACAGTACCATAGTATCACAGTGCTTAGGGTCGGAAGGGACTTAAACAGATGATCAGGTCCGACCCCATGCCCCGGGCACAGAGAAATCCTTGCCTCTCACATTTTTACTGGACAAGAACAACATTCCCCCAACACCTTGCACAGCTATTTATGAAAGGGAACATCTGTAATATAAACAACTTTATACACCTAAGATTTAAGCTGAATCAGAGGGAGTACTGCTTAATACTTTTTTTCCTTGAAACAACTTTGTCAAATTGTTACTTCTCATAAAATTTTCCAACTGGAAACATAAAATTCATATACTCAAAGATGTTTCATTCTATCCTAGGCTGAATTACAAGCAGGAGGAACTCACCCTCCTGGCTGGCTGACACTAGCCCGGACATAGTGGGGATTACGGAAACGTGGTGGGACTCATCACATGATTGGGTGGTGAATGTCACGGGCTATAGGCTGTACAGGAGGGACAGGATAGGAAAGAGAGGTGGGGGTGTGGCACTCTATATTAAGGAGGAATACACATCCTCGTCCATTGGCAAGGAGTCAGGGGAGGGG